TCTAAACTTTCACTCAATCCACAACAAAAACCTTAAATTAAAAAAAAAAATAAGATAATTTAAAAGTTTGTTCCACAAACTTTTAGAAGCCCCTTCATACTTTTTGGGTTCCACAAGAATCTAAGGGTATTCAAGTTATACAGAAAACAGAAGAAGGGATATCTGATCCTAGTCCATCATAGATTCTGGAAAGGTGTTCTTTGCCATTTGGTCCGTTAAAGTCAGACAACTCAGAGTGGAGACCAGGAACCCAGGAACCATAGTCCAACAACCATACCTCCTGGGTCTTGCTTTTAACTTAGTCCTACGGTAAGCACACATACATACACAATGGGTCCTTGTGTTGAATTTATAATGCACAGTATTCAAAATTGGCCATTGAGAGGTAATAAGTGGTTGCCCCAAGTCTAAATGTACCAAGTCACTAGTTCTTCTGTTAGGCTCTGTGTATTAAATATTTTGCTTACTGAAGAAAATATATTTAGTAAGTGAGTATTCATTTGTTCTTAGGCTGTTTTAGTCATCAATCATCCAACAGGCTTTCAGTTTCATAAGAAGATGATATAGAATCACTTTTTAATACTCATCCCATCTAGATACCACTACACACCCTGTTGATTATTACATAGACAATGAAAAAAGGGCTGTGAAATCAGGAAGGAAGAAGGCAGATTGGGTAGGAACTTTATGATTTGAGGAACAATGACTGGGTTTTCTTTTTATCTCCCATAGACTTCCAGACTGAACACTAATGAGGCAAATAACCCATAACCACCAGCTGACATAGATAAAACAGCCTAAGAAAAGTCTGCTTTCTCTGGCCAAATGGAAGGAAAGGGGGAGTTCATCAGAGACCTAGAAGGGAGGCTAAACCTCCCCTCTACAATCTGGACCACTGCAGGCAGAATAATCCACCAGCACCCACAGCATGTTGGACCATCCCAACCCCTGCATCACCACTAGAGCAATCAATCCACCAGCAGAGTCAGCATGTGTATAAACCATCTTTTATGTTGTTTAAGAAAGGTATTTGCAAAGTTCTATCAACATCTATCACCAAGGCCATATTTTCC